GCTTTCGAATCGCTCTCGCCAATGTCAAACACTGATCGATCTGCGCCGCACCTCTTCTAGTCGAACACACCGGCTAGTGCTGCAGGCTTAAGGCCAAAGTATACTTCGGCTGTCCGCGTCCACATTACGTCATTTTCGTCATCAGGAGGGCTTGCGGACAGCCGTGCACCCCATCCACGTGCAGGCAATTTTTTGAGACTGCGCGGACGGTCTGCGTACAACAGCGCATGTGCGAGATCAAAGTTGAGACAGAGCGCAAGTCAAACTGCGCCTGTGTTGAGCTCGTCCATCTGCACTCATCCGCGGTTGAGTATACTTTGAAAGCTGTGCGGACACGGCTGAGCGCGAGACGGAACGGAACGCGAAAAGTGAAGTATACCCGGGCCTTTATTGGCTCACTGACGGTGATGAGATTAACCCCTTAGGTATCGAAATTTGCTACCGAACGACGAGACGTTTTTCGATACTCGATGGTATCGAGGCAATTCGGTCGGTGCCTAAAAAGTATTGAACTCGATACCCAGCCCTACACTGGAGCACAAAACCAGTCATAAGGGAGATTTATACGTCATCTGAAAGCTGAATAAATAAGCTTACCATTGATGTATGGTTTGTTATGATAGGACAATATCTGGCTGAGATACAACTATTTGAAAATCTGTCGGTCGGTGCCTAAAAAGTATCGAACTCGATACCCAGCCCTACATCCAACCAATATTATTTTGTTTGTTTAATGCTATTATTTTTATGTTTATGCAAACAAAAAGTGCATAGTGCAGCTAATATTATTTTATTTTATTTATTAACTTATTTCCCCAATATGAAACTTGGTGAAATGATTTCAGTGTGTGTATCGTTACTTTCAGAACACTTACAGCACACTTTAATAATATAATTTTGGTCACTATAATCATGATATATAATGTTCATACATTTCATCTCTACATATAACATACGTAAAAATATACAATCTACTCCAAAAACAACTTCACATGAGCTTGTGTTTCTGGTCTCCTGTATTTGCATGAGTATGAAAGGAAGTCAACAGACTAAAAAGCCCCATAATCAGGTGGCTTAGGTTGTGTTTGATAGGTTTTGGAGCTCACCTCAGCAGGAGCAGCGCTGGTTACCCCTGCTTTAGATGAACGTGAGCTGGCTGCTTTGATTTTGCTCCCATCAGAAGGCAAACATGAGCCGATGCGCTACGACCTCGTCATTCATACAGATTATGTAACACAACTACAAATACTGACACATCAAACAAACATATGCCATGAGGGCCACAGTTACAGTATACAACAGCATGCAGTGGCATGAACTTTGCTTAAGGATTATCATAGATCAAATATGTTGAAAGGGCATGTCAACTGTGGAGACAGCTGGATAAAACAGACACGAGTCAAATCAGCACTATCACTGACCAACCACATAATCCCAAAAGCCTTCATCTACAGATGGGAACAATTTAATCCTATTCAGATCTGCGGCTGAAAACATGAAGTGGGATAAAATGAGATCAGGAAAAAAACGCATTACAACAAAAGCAACAAATATTCACCGTCTTCACGTGTTTTGTAATGATGCCAATTTGAAACCTTCCATTTTTGGCAAACAACGTGATGCACAACAGAGGTTTACGGTTAAAATTAAAACATGGAAGAAAAATTGTGTGATTATTCCAGTTTTAATAATAATTGTATTAGTAGTAGTAGTAGTTCTATCTTTGCATTAAGTAATATATTTGTCACAATTTCTTCAGGTTAAACCAAACTTTTATTTTGATTGGTTGCTGTAAAGACCTTTAAGGGTGCGTTCACACTTGTAGTTCAGTTCTCTTGGCTCGTTTGGTCCGGACCAAAAAAGAAAACGATACATTTGGTCCTGGTCCGCTGAGTGTCCACACTGGCATTTTAGACAGCGAACCTAAAGATACCGAAACTAAAGGCATAGTGATACGTTCACAACCTGATTGGTCGGACTGAATGACGTATATTTCGCGACGGAACTCACAAACACTCCAAACAAAAGCCGTGTTCGACTTAAAGCGGCACTGCGCAGACCGATCGGTGTTTGACATCAATGCACCCATTCACCGATCGGTCTGCTCAGCTCATACTTTAAGTCGAACACAGCTAATGCCGTCTGCTGGACTAAGCGCGCTCATTGCTGCGTGTACTTATGATTTTATTTTCACCACCTTCGAACCCATGAAGAGCTCATAAAAGGCACTTTACCTCCTTGTTGCTCCACGTTTGCCCTCTGCTCATTTTGTTTTGGATACACAGCTCGTTCCGTGTCATCAAATCATGTCGTATATAGGGTTGGTATCGTTTGAATTTTATCGATTCCGATTCCGATTCTGCTTTTCGATTCCAATAAGATAAAAATCTAATATAAAAAAATTAAGTTAAACATTTAGATATCAAACATTTATTCTGTCTTTTTACAAAGCATTCTGTTGCAGCTGAATAACACGAGCAAAAATCAGCAGCCTACAGAACACTGCAAGAGGAATTTTGCCTATGCTTTAATGGCATCTATGGAAAAATACCACAGCAAATACCACAGCAAAAACAACTAGATTAATATAAATTTCAAATATTAAAGTGTTAAAGACAAGTAAACAGTCAGTAATAAGATAGGAACAAACAAATCAATTAGCAATATCATAAATAAATACAACTGAACAAAATTTCAGGTACAGAAACTGTAATTAACAGTTTAAAAACACTGCATAGTTTTCTTTTCATAAATAAAATATAGATTAATCAATTAAAGTTATTAAATATATTCAGTCAAGATCAGTAAATGATTTTCTTTTGTTCTTTGATTAACATTAATGACAGGCAGCGCGTTTATTAGGCTGCTGTCTCTTAAACACAAAACACACTAAAATACTGTTACACAAGCGTTTTCTTTCTCACCTGTTTGCGTTCACTTAAGACAAAAAAAGGGCTGTGTTTGCAAGGATAGCCTATACTGACGTAATTTTGTACATATTGGTTGCAACATGTGAAAGAAGTCAGTTCCGGACCGGAAGTACTTTTCCTGCAGCGGAAATGCATGAATGGTTTGAGAAGGAACCATAGACTGTATGGAAGGAACACAGACTAGTAGAAGTTGTAAATGGCAAGTAACACGCACAAATGGAACCGGTTTTCGATACCCAACCCTAGTCGCATAGCATCGCATCTTGTCATTACTTCCCGTTTTTGGTTCGTTTAGAAGTATTTGGTCCGTGTTGCGTTCATATTTCATTCGAACCGCACCAGAGTTCGTTTGGAAGTGGACCGAGACCCATCTTTTTAGCGGTCTCGATCCGCTTGTTTGGTGCGCACCAGGGTTCGGATGGCAGTGTTCACACTACCGCACCAACGAACCGCACTAACAGAGCAATCGCACCAGAGTTCGTTTGGAAGTGGACCGAGACCCATCTTTTTAGCGGTCTCGATCTGCTTGTTTGGTGCGCACCAGGGTTCGGATGGCAGTGTTCACACTACCGCACCAACAAACCGCACTAACAGAGCAATCGCACCAGAGTTCGTTTTAATCGAACCAAACATGACAAGTGTGAACACACCCTAAGTTTCTGATGATAGTTTTTCTCAAATGAAACAGTAAAAGGCTCATGAAGTGACTCTCGGAGCAGTTTTAGAGATTATGTTTGTGTTCATGTACTCGTATATTGAGGCGACGGAGGCTGAAAGAGTCACGTGCGCTTCAGTATGTGTGTAGTAAACGAAACTGTGCATCTGCGCCATTCATTCACACAGAGACATGTATGCAGAACACGCAGGATTCATATTTAAATCGTATTTTTGCAGCTTAATATTCACAGACACTAGTCCATAACGCATTTTGATTTAAATGTATTGACCTACTTTTGACCAGATTGCAAATTCTGCAACATTCCGCATTATATAGTAAATTCCATTTTTCTGACTGGATTCCGCGATTCTGTCCATGTTTTCTACATCGCGGAAATCATAGGGCCCTCCACTGGCTAATGAGCTGCACACTCACACATTTCAGAACGCAACAATGTGTGAACCTGAGCTTGCGTAGCCTGTGTTCAGTAGCATGTTTTGAGCCTATAAGCAGCTCGTGCACTTTATATTCTTCGCTTCTGCTAAACATGGACGTAAGGGAGCAAGCAGGATTCCTCTCTACAGTTCCTGCACAGTGTCACAGCGCAGGAACTTCACGCCATATTTCACGTCCTTCCTGTGGACCAGCGATATGAATCATGCTCACAGGGAGAATTTTAGATGGTGTAAGAATTATGAATAAAAAGGTTTTCTTCTGAATTTTGTTTGCTCTCTTTCATGAGGTCAGTGTCGTGTGAGTGTGTGCAGGGCTTTTATTTCATTCTGATGCTGACGTTTTGTTACATAAGACTACATAAAACAACGCGCAGCCCACCTTACAGCAGCCTCATGTGCTCAAATCCCCCTAAATATGACGGATGTGCAGGCTCAAATGAAATCTGCAGACGTCTGACATTTTTCATTTTTTGGCAAAATTGATGCAAACTGTAAAATAGGTTAAACAGAGCTGAGAGCCCTGAACTCTTATTGCTAGCTGAAAACATCTAATTAGCCACAATATTTCATAAGCACTTAATGGAAGAGTCACGGGCCAAATTTTGTGAATGATGGGCGAATGAGAAAGAGTAAAGATATTTTAGACATATAACTGATATTCCAGATCATATGTAACATTCTGGAGTGTGTTTCCCATACAATGACGTAACTCACTGCTTAACTTGCATAGTATGATGCAAGAAATCAAATAGCTAGTCACGACGGTTTGACGAAACAATATTGTTGCAAATCTGTCATTCAACCACGTTGGCTAATGATGTCACACAGGTGGTAGAGTAATAACTTCTTTTAATTTATCCATTAAAGACCTAATTAATGCCAGATTTTTGCTATAAATTACAGACATGGCATCTGAGGGAGAATTCTCTTTTTGTCTCCTCAGTTATTCTGCTTTGTTTCCAGATTCAATCATCGGCTCTTTCTTACGTGAATATGAAAATTCTGTCCGTTTTCCACAAGCGATTGGTCTATTTAGACCAATGCGTAAAAAATGTCAGACATGCTAAATGAACATGCAAATTCACTTTCTGACAGTAGGTGGCGCTTACAGAAAAGCACAAACAGAGCAGATTTACTTTCTTACCAACTATCTGTTTTATCCGCTTGTCACAGAAGAAAGTCAAAGAGTAAAGAGTAAAAATACACATTTAAAATAAAAATAAAAGTCTCACGGACAACATGCGAATGCTCATCAGACGCATTAACAGCGGTTTCAATTCCAATATTTACCGAACTGAATATTCGCTTTGGTGTGAACAAGCATTACTTTTACAACTGATTCGATCAGAAAACCCGTAAGTCTCTTGACAGGTTCGTTAAAAAGCAGCAGCTGATAGGAGAAACCATTAGTTTCATTAGAAATGAAATTAGTTTCCATGACTGTGGGAATGCTTTTATATTGTGTGTTCAGTATTAAGAGTGTAACGACCGATTGATTTATATGAGGATCCAGCTCCAAACTGAATATAATGTGAACGAACTAATTCGGTCGTCAAGATGAAAACTACAGGCAGGCTGGAGGAAAACTCTGCAGGACCAGAGTCTGTGATTTACATAAACAATATCTGAGAGGGAGCACATTGACGTTTCAGATGTACAAGTGTATATGAGAGCATGCGTGATGGGGTGAGTGTGTGTGAGGCAGGGCTGTGTCTTCATCAGTCGCCATCTTGTTGGCTGCAGCAGCTGTAGGCCGTGAACACACACACATACATTCAGTACATGAACACACTGCTGACACACACACACACACACACACACACACACACACACACCAGCCCGCTTACATGTTTCAGCACAGCAGAAGCGCTTTAAACACACAATCACACCAGTATGAGTGTATTCTGTGATGAAACACACTGGAGCTGCTCTTCCTCATTCACATTTCCACCAAGAACGCAACCGTAAATCACTCATACACACACACACACGCGTTAAAGAGATCGAGAAACCCCATTAACCGGCGTTTACAGTCGTTAAAAGCACAGGCTCACAGTTCAAGGCAATTAAAGGCACGAGAACAGTTTAAACACACAAACACACACAAACACACACAACCGAACAAATCCCATCCGCCGCTCAAATAAGACCCGAGTCCGGGTGTGTTTGAGCGCTTCATCGAGGATTTATTAGGCAGAAAGATGACATTTAAATGCTCAAACAGTGCGACTCCACGATGAAGTGAAGTGGGGGATGTAGTTTGGCTTTATCCTCCATCTTCAGTCCATTTCATCTTGCAGATATGCACCAATGCAGGCTCAAAACACGGCACACCAGCATTTATATTCGTCGACAAGGCCAAACATTACTTAGTGGCCAAATGAGACCGTTTTAGCAGCTTCATGCCAAAAACGCGGCTCACTATTGCTGCTCTTATGGACACGGTTCCCGATAGCAGAAATCACCTGACAGCATTTAGCATCGATCATCGTGAATATTAAAACAGGAGCGCTGCTAGTCAGCTAACAGCACATCTCTGCCACATGACCGTGATTTGAGGAAGTTAACACATACTAAACCACTTATGTGGCCTAGGAATGATTCAATTTTTATATTTGCTGCACGTAATGTGAAAACAATCATGACAGACGCGAGTGCAGTTTCATGTGCTTGTGTGGAGTCCAGCAGCGGCCCCCACCCCACCGGACCCCAGAACAGCCCAATGAAGCCAATCAGGCGAGCGTTACAGAGAAACACTGACCTGTGTTCTGTCGGCACAGTTCGTTGTGTATCTATCATTTACTGTAAACCGCGAGGAGAGATCCACAGCTGCCCGACCTGCGGACAGTCCGTCAGTCAGTCAGCGGAGAGCGGCACTCCCCGAACCCGCAGCCGCGACAGCTGCAACCGCGCTGATTCTGGCCCAAATGACGCGAGCTTCACGCAGATGCCCTGTGGTAAACGTGGTCAACACAACGCTCGGTCCAAATTCGGCCTTGTACGTCCCACACTCGTCGTTGTCCGGCGCTGAAGTGGTTCTTCTGCGCTCGCTCTGTCAGGCTCTGGCTCCGGCCATCAGACAGCGGAGATGGGCGCGGCCGGTGACCCTGCTCTCAGGACTGGGAAACCCCACGCTGCGCCTGCGTCACCACGCAACCGATTCGACTGTTTCGGCGCCAAATCTTGTTTCGCGGTAAAAATCAGTCTGTGGTTAAAATAAACTGTATTTTATTGATTTATTCGTGAAAGTAATGTAATGTTAAAAACACATCTTTTTAAGATTGTGTTTGTGTCTTAATATTTTATTGTATTGTGTTTTTTTTATTATTCTAATGGATGTATTTTGTACTATATTTGCTGTAGTGTAAGAAAAGTGCGTTATAAATAAAATTTATTATTATTATTTATGATATTATCATTGTATTTACAGACATGTTTTGGTGTAGTCTGAAGTGTAGGATCATCTACCAGATCTAATGAAGAACACTTAATTAAAACTGAAAAACTATGGGAAGACCCAAGACCGGTTCCTCAATTTAAGATAAGTATAATAAAACAATTTGGGAAAAGGTGCAGTGAATTTGGTTCTTTTAGTGGCGTAGGCAGAATTTTATTTTTGGGCGGGCCTGGGTAAAGGTGAGCTGGCATAACTATAACTAAAGCTGGCTGTACACTAGACAATTTTCAAATCTTAACTGATTTTAAAACCATGGGAGACCACAGACATGACGAGAGTTCAACCGATTTTTAGCCTTACAATCCTCTGAACGCGCACACTAGACCAGTGTTTCCCAACCTTTTTTTAGTGGCGGCACCCTTTGGAAATTTTAACAAACTTGTGGCACCCTACAAAATTAATTTTGTCACAATATTTGGATTTCTAACTTCGATATGATCATTTGAAAAGTATAGATATTCGGTACAACACGGAAGAACTGCAGAATATAATGTCATACAGATATTTTTAATATTGTTAAACAATGTTGTCCATCAGTTGTGATAATCAGTAGGCTAATTTCTAATGCTCGACAGACGGCACCTCGGTTGGGAAACACTGCACTAGACGATTCGACCAGATCGCGAGACCACACACTTGATGATTGTAGGAATGATTTCACAGTGACACGCAGGGACGGCTTTCCGTCAGTTCATAAAGAGAGTCACTTGCTTCATTCCTGAATGATTCAGCCATTGAACGAATCAACTGAATGAATGATTCAGTGATAAAATCAGTGACTTGCCGCCACCTGCTGGCGGTTTTAGTTTCATTTTTAGCGTATAATTTAAGTTATTTAAATCATATTTCTGTATTCAAAATTTTACATTTAAAACATTAATCTCCACATGAATTTATGAATTTAATTGCACTCATGCCACCTCTGAGCCTCATTAAACGTCTGAAAATACACCTACAAGCCACATGTGTGTTCTTCTGTGCCATCTCTGTAGTTTTGTGTTCTTCTGTGCCACCTCTGTAGTACAAATTAATTTACATATTCTACATATTGTTATGTGGCCAGTTTTGGTTTATTTGGTTGGCTTACATGCAGCAATGCTAAGGCTTACTTGAGGCCCAAATCTGGCAAACAGAACCGGACTGCCCAAATGCCATTATTCCACGCAGTATGTGGGCCGGAGCAAGGTGTTGGATCTGGGCCAGAATTAAAATAAATGTGGCCCAGATTTGGGCCAGTTCTACTTTATTTTATTTATTTTTTGTCATGGCTGACATGTGGCCTTCCTATGGCTTGCTTGTGGCCCAAATCTGGCAAACAGGAGCGGACCGCACAATTGCCATCATTCCACGTGGTATGTGGGCCAGATGAAAGTGTCAGGTGTCAACCATTTTTGCTGCAGCGTCTGGGGAGCAATTGGTGGTTACATGTCTTCCTCAAGGGCACCTCAGTCGTGGATATTGAGGGTGGAAGAGAGCGGTGTTCATTCACTCCCCCCGCCTACAATTCTTCTGGTACTGAGACTCAAACCCGCAACCTTCGGGTTACAAGACCGACTCTCTAAACATTAGGCTACAACTGCCCCAAATTTTTTATTCCTATACAAACACATCTTAACTACACCACATGGGAGAAAGTAGACACTGATATGTATGAATAGTTCAAAATTAAACAGATTATCAAGTACAATTCATATTTATTTTTTAATTTTTGTAATGTGTTTTTGTAAATTATTTTTGTTTGCTTTGATCTGTTTACTATTTGCAATGGTTGCTATGCATTTCATATTTTTATAGTGTATTTTGGATTATAACATTTCACTTCAATTCAGTGCAAAATGTTATATTGGTTTATCTTTTTTTCTACTTAACCTGTTGAACAAAAATCAAATAATTATAGTAAATTGTGTGTGCATAAAATATTTCCATTTTTTTATCATGCATATTATGCATGCAGTTCCTGAAACATTATGCATTATTGAAATCATAAATAACCACGAGTAGCTGTTTTTTAATGAACTAAATCTTTTATGGCTTTAAATGTAAAAGTTGGTCAAGAAAATCACATATTATGCATGGATGTGAAAGGCAAGTTTCTGTGTTCGTACCTCACTCACTTGTACTGATTAAGACCCAGGGCTGTTAACAAGGTTGCTGGATTGGAGCAAGTGATGCAAGCAAATTTGTTTTTAATGCATACATGACAGCATTTCATTTATACATCATTTATACTTCATTTATACGTCATTCATACTTTCAAATTACTGCATTCAAAAAGACACACGTTTGGGCCCAACTGTGCCTATATAAGAGTCGCTGCAGAACCAGGAGAATGGAGAATCAACAAAGAAGTGATGAAGGAACTATGATGATCCTGGTCACAACATCTACAACTAGCATGAAAGAATGATTATTAAACACTGCCTTGTTTGTCAGCAATGATTCACTTGATGGACATCTATACCAGAACTCTACCAGATTTACTTGGCTCTCATCTCCTGCTGCCCTCTCTGAAGGAACACAGAACTCCAGCTGTCCTCCTTTATTCACAGCATTACATTCACTGAACTGATAGGAATTCCTTTTGAGGAATTAACGTTTGCAAACCAGGTGTGGTCGGTTCATGGACTACAATGCATTCTTTATTTCTTACTAATAGTTAGTTCAGGTCCTCAAATCAGATTTTTCACCAGTATCAGCACTGGGACTCATCGTTTGTATTACTGCACTTGTCTCTGAGTGGATAAGCATAATTTTGCATAACTTGCATAATTTTCTAAATTCTACTGTTGTTGTGTCACAGAGTGTAGTTTTAAGAGTTTTTCAGGTGAGAATGTATTTGTTTAAACCTCAAATCTTTGGTCTATTTATAAAGATAACGGCTATTTGAAAATTTGCTCCAAAGTTTTTAGCTCCAGGCGATCACTAGGAAGTCAGTGCTATTTGTCATTTCTCTTTCTCTCTCATAATACTGTACATTACTGAATGATACTCCAATACACCAATAGCTTACCTGAAGCAGCTAAAGCCATCGTTGCTAATTCTAGAGTGGCATTGGTAGATTTGCATCCACAGAGAAAGAAAGTAGTTCCAGAAACAAGAGGATTTTTTAAAGATACTCCACAGTTGTTTCTTATTTATTTACATATTTGTGCTGTTGAACTGTTGTATATAAGCAATATCACACATTGCCCATTTCTTGCCTATTAGCGTTTTAAAAGTGATACACCACTATTTAACCACTTTTTTCCCCCTGAAAGTAATGAAAAATATCACCACATTTCAAAATATATGTTGTTTTTAATAGGAGTTTGCTATTGTGGTAGACAATTCCCGTGGGACAGTTGTATTTTTTTATTAAAAAATGTATAAATACATTTCAAACAAATATTTCTTGGCAGAAAGTTTAGTACAAGAGGGAAATTACTTTTCAGAATCTTTGGGTGTTACAGATTTACATGTATTTTGTTTTAGCACACCTAAAAATATTCATATTGAAATCATCCTCTGCTGCCTCAGCAAGACAATGGGAATGACACAGATCTCTCAGCGCGTTAGTTGCATCATACTCTTTGTCTCATAAGCAGCTAACACAGCACTTGTTTTCGTTTACTACATGTACTCTCAACAACACTCACTGAGACCAAATCCCCCCTGGCTTGAGTCTAGCAAAGCTACATGCAAGGCCTGTCACACACCTTGACCAAAACATCTGTGGGAGGAGTTAAGGGAGGCAGTCTCAAGCCCACAGCTAATTATCACCGGCAGCTTGACTGAGATGTTACTCCATGGAGAGTCAGAGGCACACTGGGTAGCGCTGTTACTTAGAGACTAGGAACACAATATACCCTGATCAATTACCCACCGGGTCTATTGGGCCCTCACATCCCTAACTCAGACTCTACCAAGGAGACAGAGGCCTCAACAGATCCCTCTTTTCTAGGAGCTCTCCCACAAGTACTACTAACCCATACAGGTTAGGGTGGGGCAACTAACCCAGGAGGTACAGAGATTGAACATGGGAAAAAGCCATATGCATAGGAGTTCAGTTGATTAAAAACAACAGGTATTGTAGGACAGACAGAACCTACATTGCCAACAGGGTAGTGAGATATGTAAGTAGGTGTAAGTCAAATCATACATCAACATACTGGATGTTGTAGACTGTGTTTTGCATGCTCTTCTGTGTGTAATGAGGCTTAGGTGTTCTGAAATGAGGATCAAGATTTTACAAGGACAAGCTGAATGTGGAGTCAGCTCATCATCTTTGTGGAATTAATAACCTGCATCAAATTAGAATAGCCAGCTATTCATATTCGGTCCATAGGCTTTGTAGATGAACCAGCACAATGTTTATGTGCTCTAGAGTAACAAGAAAAAGACTGATAAGCAAAATATAATGCATGACCCTATTCATGGAGGACCATGCAACTTTCCCAATGTCTACTACATGGTAAATTAACTAACTGTTCTGACTCGGAATCAGGTGCTGCAGGTGCAAAATTGCCCACAGTGGATGTCAATCCTTTTGAGAATTTGTTGTCCTGGATACGTTCTCTGCTGCATGTGTTTTGCAGCTACATAAAAGATCCCGTGAGAGCTGTTGGCAAAGCTGTCGCACTATTACCTGCATTACACAGGTGCTTCACTTTTACCAGCCAGTTCAGTTATTACAATCACCCTGACAAAGATATGCACTATCATCATTTTGA